GGACCATCCCAGTTTTAAGGAACACAGTATTCTCCTTCTCAAACGGATCCACCAAAAGATTCCTTTAAATAAAACATTTCTGCCCTGGCTGGTGTGACTCAGTAGATCAAGCACTAGCCTGTGAACCAAAGGGTTGCTGGTTCGATGCCCAGTCAGGGCACATGCCTGGGCTATAGGCCAGGTCCCCAGTAGGGGGCAAGCAAGAGGCAACCACACATTGATGTTTCTCTCCCTTTCCTTCTCCCTCCCTGCCCCTCTGTCTAAAAATAAATAAAATCTTAAATAAATAAATAAATAAATAAAACATTTTCATGGAGCACTGGAGTAAGACTGTTTTATGAAGTATGTGCTGACTCATACCTTTTCAAGAACATCTACCTAATTTGACCATAGGCATCTCAACTTGCAGGGGAATGGCCCCTCTCTTGGGCCTATGATAGCTCTTTCCTTGTTTAGCCCTGTGTCTCTGTGTCTCTTCCTTTGCCCATCTCTCTTCCTGCCTAAACACAGGCACTCACCAAGTGTTGAGAACCACCCTGTCTGGTTTCAGAAGCTGTAACCCCCACCGAGGCTAAGGCTGAGGAAGCGACCTTGGACCGTAAGCCACTAAGGAGACAAAAGCTTATCTCCCTGGCAGGAGCTCCGCTTCTTCTCCTTTTACTTCATCCATAACTGGCCCCCAATGCTTGGTCGGTTAGCCAATGACAGGTGAGATTCCCCAAGGGGAGGTGACCTAAGACAGGCACGATCATGTGGGAGGCCCCCAAGGAAGGACTTTGGGGGCTACAGCAAAAGGGGGTGATGGAACCTCGCCCCTTGGCTTTGACCAAGCCTGAGTCCTCATTCTGCCTATGAGAAGTCTCCTAATCTCTTGGCTGCCTTACTCCCCCTGCCTGACTTAAGCCTGAAACAATGACAGAGGGTGGTGCAGCCCTGTGCTGGAAAGGGCAGGTTCCCCCAGCAATCAGGCCTAAGAAAGAATATGTAAAATTCTGTGAAACCTGCTTTGTTTAGAATGCTCTCAATTAAATGATAAAGGTCCAAGCAAGAAGTAAGTTTGTTCCTCAAAGTTTTACAGCTCTTTAGCTATCTGACCCTGACTCAGAATAGGCCCTCAGAGTTCTTAGTTATCTATTGTTTGATCCTTACTGCCAGACAATGACTAATGAGCTTTATCTGTATTCCTGTGCAAATGAACCCAATAAAACCTATTGAGGAATAGGCTCCCTAACCCCCCTTCTCCTTTGAGAGATCCACCATCTTTCCTCCCCAGGCAGATCATGTCTTGATAGACTTATTCTCATCCGTGGTGGCCAGGGGGGCCTGAGGCCAGAGCATCCCCCACAACCAAGAGTGCTTCTTTGGGGACTTCTTACATCCTCATTCTTTCTCCTCACTTGAGTGACTATCTCCCATTTCCTTTAGTCTCCTCGGTGCTGTTAATAGCTTACAACCACAAGTGCTCATTATGTGCCAGCCTCTGTACCAATCTCTAATTTCATCCTCGCAACAGTCCTATGGAGTAGACACTATTATCACCTCCTTTTTATACATGGGAAAACTGAGGCTTGTGGTGAGGGTTGGGGGGTTGAAGTAACTGCCTAAGGTACCAGCTAGTAAAGGGCAGAGCTGGGATTTGAACCAGGCTGGTCCACCTCAGAGACTCATCTGGCAAGATGATACTTCTGTACTTCCTGCAATTCTGTGCACTCTCTCACCTGGACGCCCCTTCCAAGGGGCTGGAGCCGTCTCCACCAACCCCTCAAACCCAGAACGCTGACCACCAGTTATCGGAGAGCACTCACTGACAGGTTTGAACTGGTTGTTTAAACACTGAAATACTTCCAAACCCTATACCACCTGGCACCCCGTCCCCTCCCCAGCCCATCCCCTCGAAGACTTCCCCGCATCCAGCAACCCCAGCACGGTGCTGGGGGCTGAGGGATTGGGGTCTGTGTGATAGCCTGTTTTCTTCTTTGGGGGGTTGGGCTGGGGTCGGGGGAAAGGGCAGAAAACTGTACTTGAACAATTAAAAATAATAAAAATAAAAATAAAACAACAACAAACAAAGAAGGGCTTCAGGGAGGGGTGCCAGGATGCCCTTGGCCTTGGTCCTCATCATTGCTACCCCTGCGGTTAGATCCCGTTCATATCGCTTCTGCCTCCTCCCCCCTTCTCTCCCCACAAACCAGTTCCTCCTCCTAACTTCCTTATTTCTGGGGCCCACAGCTCATTCTCAAATTCACTTTATAGGAGCCCTCCTTTCCTCTTCCCTACTGCTCACCTTCAACTGCTGGCCTTGTCCTTTGGCTTTGACCTCTTCCTCCGTCTTCAGCTCATCTCACCTGTCTCATCTTTTGCCCCTCCTTATGGTCTCGACCCTGGAACAGACCCCTTCAACTCCTGGCCCAGCTTTCTTGGGTCCTGCTGGACTTCCCCTACTCCCTGCCCCTGTCTCCTCCACATTCTGGAGGCCAGGTATTCAAGCACAAAGCTTCGCTCCCTCATGAGAAATCTACCTTCTAACCAACGTGGTAGTCTTACCCTGCCAGTGCCCTCTCCGTTAGAGTGCCTTATACAAAGAAGGTAATTCCTGAATATGCATTAAATACAGTTCACTGATACCCACTTATGTTTCCAAACTTGCCTGCCTTACCCAATCACAGCCCTCCCGTAAGGGCTATTGCCAGCCCCTCAGTACTCTCAGCAGCCTTGCCTCCCTACCCCAAGAGTGTGAAAGCCTCAGAGGCAGCCCCTGAAGTCACAGTAGTTTCCCTTCTGCCCATCTCTTCCCAAGTCCTGGCTGACTGTCCCATCTGCCTGACTCCTAAGCATCCAACGCAAGGCACTACGGCAGGTGCCAAGGGCTCAGCTGATGGTGACACCTGTCTGGGAGCTCGTGGTTGGAGCTGGAGGAGAAAGATATATTCATATGAAGGCCCAGTGGTGACCCACCAACTCCCTGTGGCACTGCCGTGGAAGATAGACATGTAGGCAGCTATGCTGGGACTCGCTGCACGCCACCCTCCTTGAGGCACTCACTGAGCATTTGGTCCATGGAGTCCTGCTGCACTAACAGCTCAAGGAGCATGAGAATGTTGCTTAACCCCTCTGCCCCTCAGTTTCCTGATCTGTAAAATGGGATAGTAAGTAAGCTACCGCCATAGGGTATAGCTGTGAGGCTTAAATGAGTAGTGTGGGTGAAGCATTTAGAACAGGCTTTCCACAGACTCTGTGCACAGTGATATTAGCTATTATTGTTTTTATTATTTGACATAAAGCATCACAGGAAATTAGAGATGGAAGATAACCTGTGCAAACTATCTCTCAGGATCTCAGATACCTTCTGAAAGTAGAAGCCCAGAAAGTTCTCTCCCCGAGACCATTCCCTAGGCACAGTCCCAATCAGACCTCATTTCTGTCCCCTCCCGTAACCACTCCTGCAAGTGTGCTTCAGGAGCAGCTGGGGGCTGCCTTCCTGTGGCCTGGGAGCCCTCTGAGGATGGAGGCTGCAGCGCTTAGCACATCACATGTCCTGCCGGCCTCACAGATCCACTTTACTGGCTCAGCAACTATTTGCAGAGCCCAACTATTTCCTGCGTAAGGGACAGTAGCACTGAAAGCCAGCACAGTTCCTGTCCCAAGGTGCTCGCGTGTTGGTAATCCCCAAATTCAAAACCATAAACTAACAAATGCTGAAGGACCAGAATGTGGGCCAAGGGAACTGGTGACAGAGCCTGCTGGGCGCTATCAGGAAAGGCGTCCCTGAAGAGCGAACAGCTGAGCGCAGATCTGAAAACTGGCTGTCTCACTGTAGGCGTGGAAGGTGGGAGGCCAGTCTCTCTGCTCTGCTTTTTTCCACAGTGCCCTTCATGGCACCCAGAAGTCCTATATTCTACCTGAACAGGCCTCCTTGCCAGCCAGCTGTGAGGTCATTCACCCTCCCTGTGAATGAAGCTCCTCAGCCCTGCACCCCACAGGCAGGCAGTATCCCCCAAAGAACCTCAAAAACCCCAGGAAAAGGGACTTCACAAGGCAGGGAATAAGCTGTCCCCGAGGCCACAGAGCCACGTCCCCCCACCCAGCAGCCCATGATAGAGGACACGGAGCCGTGAAGCTAAATGGAGGGCAAGCAGGGTCACAAGTAGGGAGCTGGGGCCACTTGGCAGCTGAAGGTCTACTTTGAGGTATGCCGACTTCCTGTTCCTGCCTTAAAGGAATGAGGGTATTTCCTCTAAGTGAAGGGGCACACACCTTTAAGGGGCGCCTGGGAGTAAGAAGGGTGGGGGGGGCGGGGGCGGGGAGCAGGCAGACCTGCTGCCTCCTGCTTGGGCTGGTCCTGCTGGGCTTAGACGCCCCCACCTGCTCATAGAGCCTCGCACCCATCGGCCTCCCTCTGGGCCCGGGCCACGACGGCCTGGGGAGGGGGCTCAGGAAACAGGGCTACGGGATGGGACACAGCTTCTGCAAGAGAACCGCTCTAGGGTCTGCAGAGGAAAGTCGGAGCTAACGTGGCTCTGACAGGCTATACGTTTCAGCGGGCCTGGAAAATGGGGATGACTGCGGCTGTCAGGCTGGCGAAGCTCACCCCAGGTCCCCGACCCCAGGCAACCCCAAATTCGCTAGCAGCCTCCAGGGCCGTTGGCTATTCCCCCGCTGGGCTGGGTCGCTCCTCCCTTTGGGTCTTGGTTTCAAGACCCTACTTGGTTTCAGACCCTTGGTTGGGTCTGTGAGATAAGGGGTAGATGTCCCAACTTCATGGGGCTCCGCTACACCCTTCCGCGGGAGTACGTGTGGCTGGGGTATGAGCAGCAAAGGGGGGACCCGGGAGCCGGACTCGGGGACTTGCAGGCGCGCAGCGGGCTGGGACCCCGGCAGAGTGGGAACCCCCATGGAGTGTCTGCTCCGGTTCTGCCCCTAGGCAGCGGGACGGTATGTGGCGCAGCGCGAAGTGCCGGAGTGGTGCGGGGCCGCCCCGCTCGCCTGCCCCGCAGACTTACCCAGAAGTTCCCCTTGAACAGTGAGCCCGTCATGGCCAGCGTTTTGGCGGGTGCGGAGGAGATCGGAGCAGCCAACGGAAGGTCGGGGGTGACTATCCACTGTCCCGCAGCTCCAGTCCGGAGTCTCACCGCCGGCGGTGAGGTCCGCCCCCGTCCTAAGCCACGCCCCTGGCTCCGCCTCCCGCCGGCCAGACCCGAAGCCCCGACCCAGGCGGATTTGAAGCCCCGTGGTGCCAGGCAACTATCAAGGAACGATCCCTCAATGCCTGCTCCTTCAAAGCCTCAGGGATTGGAAGGAACTGGTCCAGTCGCCTGCCCAAATTCGGCTCCGCACACAGCCCCCTCCTCCCTCGACCGCAGAGAAATCGAGGCTCCGCCGTGCATGGAGACCCGACCTAAGCAGAGGCGGGTTGTGGGGACCAAGGGTCAGCCGGGTAAAGCCTGAGGACTGAGTGTCCGTGGTCGCGTAACGGGTAGACGCTTCAGGGAGTCGTGTTCACGACCCCAGGTTCCCCGCTGCAGATCAGCCAACCCCTGGGTCATGTTTTAGTCTAAAAATCATGGAAAGGACATTTATACTTCCCCCCTTGACTCCTCTAGGCCCCTTGTGCCGTCCTTACAGGGCGCCCAGGAGCCCAGCTCCTCACTGACCCTTTCCCATTCTCGATTCAATACCGTCTCCGCCAATCCTCCTCCAGAAGTAGGAGCACAGAGCTTCCTTCCTCTCATAACACCTCCATGAAAACACAGTCCTAGGGTTAAGTCGGACCCATTCCTGCTTTGTAGTAACACGGCGCTCTGGGACAAAGCACTGTGCGCCGTCAAAACTCAAGCCCAGAGGTTGAGAAGCCGAAGATACGCGTCACTTCTGGGGCAGATCTACTCGAGGGGAGGATGAAGGTCAAGGAACTGGTCCAGTCGCCTGCCCAAATTCGGAGCACGCAACTCCAAACTTGAAGAGGCAAGCATTTACCTCCTGAGCAGGTTCTAGCTCTGTCCATAGTGAAATAGTAACGGCTGAAATGACTTTAAGGGCAGCTAAAAGGTTGTTTGGTAGTGCCACCCCCAGTCCCACAACTACAAGGATGGAAAGGGGGCCTCCAGCCCTGGGTGACTTCAAGGGCATGCATCCGTCCATCTGATGGTTCATCGTTTTGGAAAGCAGTTACAAGTAAAGGACGCCTGGCAGCACCACCAGGAGACAGCAGAGACGGGGAGGGCAACGGGAAGACAAGCTAACCCTTAGCAGGAAGGGTAAGAAATAGTGTAAACGGGAGATGAAAGGCGCTGAAGGACAAGACTTTTCCTCTAAGTTTTGAAGATTTGGGGACAAATACTTTAGATATAATTCCAACTATCTAAGTTTCAATTTTCAAATACATATTTTTTTCAAATCTTACAAGCTTTCGTGGTACATTGTGCTGGATTTTCAAGGCTAAGGTTTCATTTTAACTCTCCCACCCCCTGGTGGCAAGATTGCAAATTGCAAATATTTGTTGAAGCTGCTGGAAAGTATTCGTTTCTCAAACATTTATTAAGCCTATCACCTGGACAGGTGTTTTAAGTAAAAAGTACAGCTGGCTCATTGGTCTAGGGCTTGGGTCCATAAAGACAAGTAAATGTGTACTGTATTCAAGGGTCTATGACAAATTCAGGACATTTCACTAACAAAGTTTAACACTATTACAGCAATTATGAAATAATGAATTTTAATGGTCAATACATTTAAGATAACCCATTCCTATTTTGGCATACTCTTCAAATAATATACATTTGCATGGTTAGGTTTCTACTGTACATAAAATGTGGAGTCTTATTTTCTCAGCTTAGTATTTCCTAAGTCCTTAAATGAATCTTTCCTAACAAAAAGTTTGACAGCACACAGTGTAGACCAAAACAGACACTCTTGCATGTAAAATTAAGTCTTTGTGAAGAGAAATTTGGCCATGTCATCAAAATTTGACATGTACCTAGCTTTTGACCCAATGTTTCCATGTTGAAGACTTTTCCCTCTAAACATATCCCTCCTGTGCAAAGTGAAGTATGTATGTAGTTACCCACAGCAGTATCGTTGTTCTAGCAGATGTGAAGCAACCGAAAGTCCTTCCATAAACAATGACCTCAGTGTGGTATGATGTACCGCGACAATGAAATCATACTAAAGCGCAAAAAATAAGGAAGCTCTTTGTGAGTAGATACAGAACAATCATCGAGTATGTTTGGACGAGGAGGGAGGACGACACACGATTTTAGATCGCCTCCTCAGAGGGGATGGGGCTGAGGGACAGAAGGGAAGGAGACCAATTTTTCACTTCATGCCAAATTAGGCCTCTGAATTTGTATTGTGCGAGTTTATTACAAACCCCACATTATTAAAACTCAAATACTGTTTTATTTTTTGCATAATTTCCCCTCAGGTGGGTATACTGATACTTTCTTAGCATTTCCCTAATGTTTTTAGAATTACGATGACAAATATCTTTTATATAAACCTTTGTTAAAGTTCCTCATGGTGGAATTACACGTTGAAGAATATAAACATTTTTAAGGTTCTTGAAATATACTGCCAAAATGCTTTCCAGAAAAGTTATATCCATGTATACTCTCAGCAATGAAGAGGGTTTCCCCAGAGGTATTCAGGCATCTTTTCCCTGAAATGGAATAGCAGTGGGTAGTAAAAGTAACAAATGCCCACTAAAAAATCACATTTCCTTTTATGCTGTCCAAAACCTGGTATCTACATTTCCCTTCCTTCTTCCCTCTGCCAATCCAACCTCATTTCAGGTTACTCTTAATCTTTCAGCCTTAAGACATTGCTTCCTTTGTGTCGCTCCTCACAAAGCCACCAACTGTCCCTATTGCCTGTCAGAATTAAATCCCAAAAGCCTCTGCCTGTCCTTCAGAAGACCTTCCCAGTCTGGGCCCACCCTGGCCTTCCCCATCTCATTCCCCAGCTTCCTACCCTCCCCTCTCCCCATGCCAGTTTGCCTCTTCTCTGTCCTGCCAACCCATCTTAGCTCAAGCTTTGTGGGCTATCTGATGCAGACACTGGCCTGCAGTGTCCGCACCATTATGAATGAAATGAGACATTCACATGAACTACCAAGTCTGGTGGATGAAAAGGGACAGCATGGCTTTTCTCTCAAGGGGAGCAAAAGCCTTGGCCCTTGCTGTGACCGGCCTTTATTGGGTTTCTCGGGACATTACAAGACGGTTCTCATTTACTATGCACGGGTTCGCTTTAGGTGGTTACCTTTTGCAGAAAACAAAGGAGCCAATGCCACTAATCACATCACAGAAGAGGGATATTTGCAAATGAACAGGCAAAATTGGTTACACTGGTCCTTGGAAGGTTTAGCACGGTTTTTAGGAAGTTATTTTGCAATAAATGTTTGCCACTGGGACCGGGCCCACTCCATGCAGAATGGTCTCCTACACTATCTGGCTCATGCTTCCTCCTGCTCCAGTTCCACCCCATCACCATTCCCCACCTTCTCCAGCCCTGTCTGGCCACTTCTTAAAATTCTAGAACTCAACTCTGCCATACAAACTAGCCCTTAATATGATATATCCTATGCTCTTCTTTAATTTCTATTCTTGGATATGTTACCTCCCCAAGGTAATTGCAAAACACGTCAAGAAAGGTATTTTCTCATGTATTAAATACATGATGAAGCCAACCAGAGAACCCAAATGAACTCTCGGACCCCTAATAGCAATTATCAATTTTTACTTCAGTTCCCCTGGTCTCATCCCCCTCTTCCAGGAAGCAGGGGTAAACTGGGCAAGGGGTACTGACCAAGTAGCTAAAGCCACAGGAGACCCCAGGAACAGGACTGTTTCTAGGACTGGAGCAGGAAAATACACAAGGTAAGCCTGGAGATCTTGTAGTCCCAGAATGCACACCTACACACACAAAACTGGGGCGCATGCACGAACGCAGGAGCCCGCTGAAAGATCCCACAACGGCCCAAACAGGAACAATATGAGTAACAAAAGATTGGATCTGGTATGAGATCCCAATTGAATTCAAAATACAAGATATTCCAAAGGACTAGTTGACTCCTAAAAAAGTTCAGTCATGGCAAACAAGAAGATCAATAAAAAATTCTAGATTTAAGTAATTTTTAAAATAGACAAAACAGATAATATACTTTTGCTTGGGTTCTGATTAAAAAATTATTATAAAAGATACTTGACATATCTGAGGAAACTTCAATATGAATTGCATATTATTAACCAACACTGGCTTTCTCAGACCTTCACCATTCCCCCATGATAGGCTATCGAAAAACATTTGACAGCCGTCTGGCTGGCACACAGGAGGGCCATCAGGCCAAGTATTTAAGCACACCTGGTGAGAACAGCCTGGTACCTACCTGTGAGTTCTACTTCACTGGTCTGTGAGTTATTCATTTAAAAACATTTGAATCTCAGAATTTGTTTCTCCTCATTTGTTGCTGCAATAGGGTGGGCTAGGCTCTGGTTCAGAAAAACTATAAGGGAAAAGAGCCAAATAGGACACAGGTGGCATGGTAACAGGTTGAGTGGGGGGTGGGGAAGACCATTTAATAACTGGAACTAAAAAAATGGACATGCACATGGAAAAGAAAAACGAAAAAGACTCCTGACCTCTACACAAAACTGTAACTCCAGGCGGACTGTGATGGTCAATCTTGCATGTCAACTTGGCAAGGCTGTGTTACCCAGTTTTTGGTCAAATACCAGTCCAGATACTGCTGTGCAGACTTTTTAGACATGATTAACACTTAAAATTATCAATAGGCTTTGAGTAAAGCTTATTCCTTTCCATACTGTGGGTGGGTCCCGAAGCCTTAAGAGAAAAACCTGAGGTCCACAGAGAAAGGAATTCTACCTCAAGTCACAACTATTCCTGGGCCACCAACCTACCAACCCACCCATTCGAACTTGCCAGCCTCCACGAAATACATCCTCTTTGTTGTAGTTCTCTGGAGAACCCTATCACATGGATTCATCTCTTTGATGACAAAAGCAAACCTTTAGAACTCTTAGAAAATAGTTATCTTTGTCACTATCAAGATTTCCTAAATAATACCAAAAGTACTAACCATAAAAACTAACTTCATCACACTATAATTAAGAGCTCCTTCAACAAAGCATGTT